GGGGGGGGGGGGGGGGGGGGGGACAGAGAACATGGGTACTCACTTGCACCAAGTGCTCAGAAGCCTATGTTTCAATACTCACTGGAACTACGCCATTTTTTGGAAGCTCAAACATCGTGCTCGAATGTATGATGCTACTACTATTGTTGTTGTTGTAGTTGTTCCTTTATTTTTGTGCCTTGTGTGTGTGTTTTTTCAACCTACCTTAGATGTTGGCAATTCAGAATGTTAAAATTAGGAAAGTTGTGGTTTTGCATGTTTGAATCGTTGGGTCTGAAATTTGACTTGGCCGTTTTTCTTGGCGGGTTATTTTAATTGGTTGTGTTCATTTTCCAGTTTTTGCCTAATAATGTTATAGTTTTTATAATGGATTTTATCAAGTTTTAGTATGAAGATTTTCGTTGATATTCAACCCCGTGCTTTGTCCTTCCAAGTTTGGTTAGAATTTAGAGTTTTTTTTAGTAAGGAGAGCATGTGTTGTGTGTCTAGTCTCTTGAGTCCATCATATTGCACTGTTTTTTGGTTTTTCGCTCTTTGATGTTGTCTATTTTTTGGTTCAAGTAATCCTTCTGTTATTCAAAATGCTTTATGTTGCTCTTGTCGTAGTGCATTTTGAATGGGATAAGCATAGCATTTGTTGTTATTGTTGATGTTTTGTATTAAGTGTAGTTGGCAGTAAGCTCTTCACTGTTTAGTGATATAATTTTGCACGCAATTTTGGTGATTTATTTTTTGGATACAGATGCACTTTGCACCAATTGTTGAATTCCATATTGCCATCCCTTAAATTTTCTGCATGTGGTACTTGCTTGCAGGATCTTGACATGGGAGGACGCATACTATAACAATCCTGATGATTATGACTCTTCAGAAAATAAGCACTGCCAGAAGACCTTGGAACAGATTGGTTGTGGGAAATTTTCACACAGCGCACTAGGGTTAGCGGTGGCTAAGATGTCATATCATGCATATTCTTTAGGAGAAGGGTATGACTAATTAAATATAAAATTGGTACCGTTTACAATTTTTTATTTTCTTTCTGCGTTGTTCTTGTTCTAAGATTCTTTCTTCACAGTATTGTTGGACAGGTAGCTGTTACTGGAAAACATAGGTGGATCTGTGCAGATAATCAAATTACAGGTTCTGGCTTGTCTTTTGAGGTGAGGATTCTTGTTATTTAATATCATCATTAAGGATCTTTCAACCTTGGAAGTCTCGTGTCAATATCTAACCAGTCCTCCAATCATTCTTATTCCTTTCCCACACTTTGGTTTGATTTTCAGTTTGCTGATGGGTGGCAGTCTCAGTTTTCTGCTGGAATCAGGGTAAGCTAACTGCTTTATTATTTTTTCCCAGCTTCACAACATTTGTGGCTAACTAAAATCTGGAAGAGTGGACATTCTATTTGCACCCAGAAATTATAATTGCCAACTTGCCATTCATTACTAATTCTAAGTATAATGGACAATTTAATTTTGACCGTGTATATGGGAAACGGTGGTTATTATGATAGTTGGCTCAATATGACAAATTATTGTTGAGCCACTCCAGGACTCCATGTCATTATTCTTATTTATTAAATGCAACTGAACTATGTTGCATTGCATTCTGTTCTAGTGTACTTCATGTTAGAAAAATAGTGATTATCTTTTAGAAAATAATTTCCTAGTCTGCATTACTGTACTTTGGTTGCATTAAAGATTTTCATTAATAAAGCTTTTACTTTTCCTTTTAGACCGTTGCTGTTGTTGCTGTAGTCCCACTTGGTGTTGTTCAGCTCGGATCTCTAAATAAAGTAAGATTTTTATTTTTAACCTTTATCTGCATTGCTTCTGCATCATACTGGTGATAATGTGGTTGACGATGTTGTTCAAGAAGGCATCTATCTTCTCTTTACGGTGTTGTGTTAAACAGACTTTCTATGCAGGATTTCAAAATTTATGTGCACTTTTTTTTTTGGAAGTATCATAACTAGTTAGATAGCATGACTTACTTGTATTTCATTCGTTATTTTCCATCTAATTATGGCAATTACTGGTTGTTGTTTGAGATATTGGTTAAATAAATCCATAATCATGTGTAATTTAGTGAAAATCGTATAGAGGAATGGATGAGAAGTTATTAACAACTTATCCCAAATTTTTTCAATAGATAGGTTATACATGATATTGTTATGTCTACATGTATACTAAATTATAATTTACTAAACTGCCTATCAAAACTAGATTATCTAGCATGAAAAATCAGATTATAAGACTTTTTTTTAATTCTAATTTAGTGGATAATAACATCGCATATGGTTACCCTGACCTAAGTTACTGTTAAGAAACAGTTATGTACTTAAATGCTGCCTTAAAAGTGTGCACACTACATTGGAAAAACCATGCCTGGGGGAGGGGATTGTTGGACCTAAACATTAGAGAGTTTAGATACCACTGAACCTTTGCTTTTGGTGTATTTTTGTCTTGCTTTCTCTCTGAAATGGTTTCCTAAATTCACAGGAAGTTGATTAATTAGTCTGGAGAAGTATCAAATTAGTTTTGATTAGAAGAGATGTGTGCCCAAATGCTTCTCCTTCTGACATGCTTTTATGAACTTAAAATGCAAGTTTTTAGTAAGAAAATTATATCAGTCTTGTTTTTTAGTTTCCAGTCTAGAATTGTGGATTATAGAATATTTACTGGATAAGAATTTATATGGAAATTCATTTATTCTGGAAAAAAATATTTAATAGCCTTCTACTCTTTTGACATCTCTGGTAGCAGGTGATTGAAGATATGGAGTTTGTAAATCATATCAGAAATCTTTTTTTGTCTACTCAAAATTACTCAATAGGTCAATGTCCTAATCAAATACAGGCTAGTTTGAAGAGTTCTTCATCTTCGGTAAGCTTTTGTCTTCACTTCTCTTTATTCATGTGTCTGTATGCTGCATGAATGCCTGTTGAGCATTATAATGAGGTTTATATTTCTTGCTTTTTTTTTCCCAGCTGGATACCTTGAAGGAAAACATGTCTTCAGATATTGTGCCTACTTGCTTTTACAATACACAGAAATCCATGAAGAGTGAAACAGCAGATGTTTTAATGCCCCTTCAATGTTCTGGGAGGAACTATGCACCTCATTCTGGTTGTGAGAAAATGTCTGATAATGTGGCCAAGCAAGAGGGGCCTGGATTTTGCAGTGATGAAAGTTCCATTTTGCTTCAGTCGATATCCAATATGATGAACGTGGAACATCAGGAATTTGAAGAGATGAAACCTCTACATGGGAGGAAGTGTGAAGGAGGAAGTAGTGGCTGTGAAGATATGAAGTTGGAATCAGAAAAAAATATCTCTTCTCTTTTAAACGAATTTGTTACAGATAATGCTAGCTTCAATGATTTAATATATCCATCTGAAAAAGTCAGAGTTGATTCTGCATGTCTTCCTTCAGTTTTTCATGATACAGTTGTTTCTGAAAGTGATAAGTTGCATTGTGTGGATATTAACCAAAAAGGGAAGTTGAATTTCGTCCAACCTTCAGATGCAAACACCCAACAACTTACTGAAAAGTCAAAATTCCATACCGAGCCTTGTTACAAGGATAACTCATACTTTCAAACTGAACCTTGTTACAAGGATACGTCACACATGTTGAAGTTCCCTGCAGGCTGTGAGCTACATGAAGCACTTGGACCAGCTTTTTTGAAAGGGAATAAAAGTTTTGATTGGTCGACACATGTTAATCAAGATGTGAAAACAGTTGAAATGTCAGATGAGATTGCCACTAGCCAATTGACTTCTGAATCTCTTGCAGAGCATCTTTTGGAAGCAATGGTGGCCAACATTTGCCATAGTAATAACAATGTTAATAGTGAATTATCATTTTGTACATCTACATCAATGCAATCAGCAATGGACTCTGGAAAAAATCACGAAGCTTCTATTTACAATGTGCATGCTATTAATTCAGAAGGCTATTCAATAGATCAGCTCTCTCTTGTCAGAGAAGACAAACACCGTTCGTTGAGTTCATCATCAGGGATATGTGGTGCGATGTCCTCAAAAGGCGTTTCATCTACATTTCCTAGTTCAAATAGTGGACAGCTTGAAAGGTCTTCTGAACCATCTAAGAACAGCAAGAAGAGGGCCAGGCCTGGAGAAAGTTGTAGGCCTCGGCCAAGGGACAGGCAACTGATCCAAGATCGTATTAAGGAGTTGAGAGAGCTGGTGCCAAATGGAGCAAAGGTATCTAGCTGAATCTATTTCCTAATGGTTTTTGGGTTGAGTGATGCTTGTAGAGCTGGTTCATGTGGCTAAATTTTTTTTTATTTTTTTATTTCAACAGTGCAGTATTGATTCATTACTGGAGCGCGCAATAAAGCACATGCTCTTTCTCCAAAGCATAACTAAACATGCTGACAAGTTAACTGACTTTTCTGATACAAAGTCAAAGGTAAAGGCTTAAGGCGATTTTAGAAATCTGTCCTCTCCTCTGGTCCATGGTCTATATAGAATTTATACTGTATTTCTGGTCAATTAAATTGGTTATTGAACTTCAAGATATGCATACATGAGTCATGATTATGGTTTACTACTAATTAACTGGTTTCTCACTCTGGTTTAAAGCAATGACATGTTTTCCCTTGACATGTTCCTTTAGGGGGAACTGTTCAATTGAACCATAAGATTTTATTTAAGTGTTGTTTAGGATAGCAGATTTTTTAGTGCCAATGAACAATTCAGAATTTGATTTAGTCCCAACTATTTCTGCATGTGGACTTATCTTCATTGTTTAACACTACTGCAATTTTGCAGTTGCATCACATGGAACCAGAAATTCTTGGATCCTCTAGTTATGAGCAGGGCTCAAGCTGGGCAATGGAGGTAGGGGGTCATCTGAAAGTTCATTCAATATTAGTGGAGAATCTTAGCAAGAATGGCCAGATGCTTGTTGAGGTACGTTTGACATGAAAATCACAACTTGATTTATTCTATATCAGTGATTGATCACAAATTATAATAAGGTTTAAATATCCTTTTAGTCCATGTAGACTGTGTAGTTTCATGTACTTTACTTTTAACTCCTGTGGTTAAAAATGCTTCATTTTAGTTTCTAATTCCTATACATTATACATACCATTTTTGCTTGCTTTCATTCTCTATCATCTGTTATTATAGGGATTAAAAAGTAAAATTTATAAAGTTATAGGGACTAGAAGGAAATAAGAATGCCAAGTATAATGACTAAATTAGAATATTTTTAATTATAAGGAAGAAAACTTAAAAAGATGAAGTTCATGAAATTATAGGGACCAAAAAGTATTTAAACCTCGTAATAAATAATAAAATATCCTCCTAAGAAGACATTGGATGTTAGTGGGTGGTTGAAGTTCTATGAGATATTGTTTTGTTGCCGATCCCGTAATCAGCTATTGAGTATGTTTTCTATTCTAATTGTCTTCTGCTGTAGATGCTCTGTGAGGAGTGCAGCCATTTTCTTGAAATAGCAGAAGCCATCAGAAGTTTAGGCCTTACCATTTTGAAGGGTGCAACAAAAGCTCATGGTGAGAAGATATGGATATGCTTTGTCGTCGAGGTAATTTCAGAACTCAAAACTTAGCTTTATTTTTCATGCAATTAACCCTATCTACACAACCGTTTTCTTTTCCACTAGACTGAAGATCTGACATAAAATTGCTGGAAACTTGGTCTATAATTCAATTAAATACATTGCAAAAAATATTGCATACCAATTATTGTAGATTAATTCACAGTTGAAAACATCAAATCAAGTACATGGAGAAACAATGAGAATTCATTAGTAAGCTTTAAAATTAGGTCTGATATTCTATTGTGATAAATTAAGTTACCTTAATCTATTAGCGCATTAAACACTTAATTCAATTAGTCGACTAGCTCAGTCTTAGACCTAATCTTATTGGATTGGATAAACTGCATACCTTTCTAATTGAGTTTATTAAGAGGCTGTTTAGATACAAATTAGAAACGTTTTTGAAGACTTTTCTACTAGAAATAAAGAGTATTTTTCAGTAAAAAAAAATCGCAAAAGTGCTTCTAAATTTGTATTCAAACAAACTCTAAGTGGAGTTTTGTCTTCCATTTTTAAATATATGATCTTTATTCTTATTTTCTATTTCATTCTTCTCTACTAGCAAAACCTGAGTTTATAGAAACGAGTCCTATGACCACAGAAAATTGTAATTTCATTTCTCCATTTTATCCACTACGTTCAATTACATGGAATGACCCTTGCAATTGAAGCCACCTATTTCATAACATTAGTTATGGAAAAAAAATACGTTAATTGAAGCAGTTGTAATATCATAATTCATGGCTTTAGACTTCAGTTGTACAACTTGATAAGCTTGTTAACAAGTTCATGTTTCAGGTACCAATGTGTATAGATGTGTACCTTAAAGGACAAAAGCAACTTCTAAGAACAAAATATATAAACTCTATTAATTGTTTTTTGGTTAAAACTCTATTGATTGTTGATGATGAATAAACTGTTTGTGACAGGGTCAAAACAACAGAAATGTACACAGATTGGATATCTTGTGGCCACTTGTTCAAATACTGCAGTCCAAGAGCACCGTGTATTCTCAATAATTGCTTGTTTCTTGCAAACTTAGTGGCCACTCATTGGCAAGTGTAACTCATTCTTGATCTCTCAAATGAAATGAAGCCCTCCTTTATAGTGTTTTAAGACTTAGGTTGTGGTTGTGGTTGTGGTTTGTTTTTTTTTTTTTTTTTGATGATTGAAATGTGTGATTGTCATTGTTTATGTTTGACATTGAAAATAGCACAACACGTTGAACATACATTAGTGTCACTCTTTTCAGTCACATGAAACCCGACGTTAGAGGGTGGCCTTAGTCCTTAGCCACTATAGCCATGGATGATGGATCCTTCGCCATAATGTAGTTGTAATGAATATAGTGGAAAAGGTGGTTTTGTTTAATTAATGGAATAAAGCAATTTAACATATTAATTGGTTCATCAAATAGGCAATGACATAAAATTGACAGGTGGTTTACATTCAGGTATAAAAAATGAATTATTTTAATATTTATTAAATTTGAAACGTTACACTCTTGTTTTTACATATTTTCTTAATAAAGAGAGGAAAATTTAATGTGTAACAAATGATGTGATAAAAGAAAATAGTCAAAATATAATATGCAAAAGGAGTATGTGTATTACATATGTTTTCTTGAAAATGCATATTAGGCATACATGTCAACCTCCGTCCCGTCTGTCAAAAAGGCATTAATCATCAACAATCCTTTTAACAAAAGTAGGCCTAGTGTACTTGTCTCACAAAACAAAAAGGAAAAACATTTGTTTAATCCAGGGATAGCAAAAAAGAAAAAAAAACCCATATCACTTAATAATAGATAATTAAATGGATACCTATAGGAGGAGATAATAAAGTATTTGTATATGTGAGTACTCGTATTTTAAAAATATTACAAGTATTTTTAATTATATATAATATATATGTTACAAAAATTATTTTTAATATAAAATTATTTATATTCTGTTTTATTTTAATTTTTTATATTTTAATTTAAAATTTTACATTTTATCATATATTTATAAATATACGTGGATTTTCATAAATATGTATAAAAAGATTCATGAATATATGTACGAAACTAAATAAGTAATGAAAAATTCACATATCGTATCGTTTCCTTAAAACATTGGTGCAATTTTAATACTATTTCATCAAGCACAAAATTATAAAAGAGTAAAACTAAAATCTAATGAAAAATATATAATAATTATAGGAACTTTTAAAGTTTATATTTTTAATCAAACTTAGTACTAACACACACAAATAGCTCAATCAAGTATCAACAATTGCTATCTTATTTATATAAAAGTTCACGGTTTACTAGTATATTATAGTTTTCTAGTAGTATATATATGTATGTAAGTAAAGTGTGAACTAGTTTTAATGATTTAATTTTATAAGAATTGTCTATATAATGGATTGCTTACATTGAGAAACATTTTCAATTTTATTTTCTGTTTTATTTTAATTATAAAATATATTTTTCTTGTATTTCCTATTATTTAAATTTTTTTATAAAAAAAATGGTTAAATAAATTATTATTTCAATTAATATTTCTCCATCAATTATTCACTTATTTTATAATCTATGTACATTTTCCTTAAAGAACTTAAAAAATGTGGAAGCAAAGAGTATTTCTTTACTTACATTAATCTTAAAATAATAAATATATGGAAAAACAAATAAAACATGAAATTTACTAAATTTTATAAATTTCAATAAATTGTTATTAATAAAAAATATACACTTAAAAAAATGCGATAAAAAGTGTTAGCCATTCTATTTTTTTTTCTTTTTTGACCGTTAGCTAGCATTTCTAGTTAAAAACTTGAGTATTAGGAATTGAAAATTTTACTTTAAAGCATAAAGTGAGAAGTTATAGGAACAAAAATAATAATAATAATAATAATTAAGTTTATAGGTAAGTATGATAAATTGCGTAAAATTTAAATTGTAGGCCATTACTTTATACGTGCCAGCACATGGCAGCTTCAGCTTTCACGTAAGTATTGTCAAATGGCAACTTAAAATATTAATATTTTTTATTTTGTTTTTGTTTGAATAAACTGTATAAGTTATATAAGTAAATAAACTCACCTTAAGCACAACTCCGTTGTCGTCCAGCGGTTAGGATATCTGGCTTTCACCCAGGAGACCCGGGTTCGATTCCCGGCAACGGAATTATTTCTTTTTGTAAATAATTGTACAACCAATGTTAAAATAGTATTATTAAAATAGTATTCTTGTTGGCTACTGAGAAAAATGCAACCTCGACATCCTTAAATGCTCAATCAAGTCTATTTTAATAAATAATTTAGTGTTATCTCAAATTTGAAAGTTATAGGACTAAAATATGATAAAAGATCAAAACAATTTTTTACATCAGGATAAAGAATAAAAATATATTTTAGTCACATATAAATTATAATAAATATTAATCCTACATAACTTAATATATTATAATTTTATCTCGGCAACTATGAAATATTTTATTTTCTTTCTCTTGTTAAATACTTGATAAACTTAAAAAACACTCGAGTATATAATGACAGAAAATAATTGTTATTAAAAAAAACTATATAAATTAAGCTAAAGAAATCAGTCGACATAGTTATTTAATAAACTCAATTTAAGCTTTTCAATTAGCTTGTTTAAATAAATAAATAAATAAAATAAGACTGATCACTATTTTCTTTTTACAAGACAAACTTTGTGCTTAAACAAATGTCATGGACACTTCCCAGGTGATGGTAGCAATGAGGTGGTGAAGGAGAATGGATGAAGAGGAAAATTATCATTTCCTAGTTTACCTCATTTTGATCAAAATCATTCACTTATTTCCTCCTAAATCTATTTACATTAATGGTTCAGATCACTTGCATCAATGCATCAAATTTGTGTTTGGAGGATAGTGAACATATAAACGGAAACAATCAAAGCAAGAGTTATGTCGGGAGTCAAGCTATAAAAGCAAGGTGTTGTAATTTATCGTTTTTGGAAGAAAACACTCAACCCACTAGACCATAAGAAGAAAATTGATTATTACTACCTTGGAAGCCATCATTAATATTCCCTCACAAAATGTTCCATCATTAATACAGAATCCAAGTAAAAATCAGTGCTAAGCCGAGAAATAGGTGATTACTATATTTAGTTTCCTATACAGAATCCAAGTGAGAATAGATCCTCTTGTTAAATAGATACAATTCAACGACTCTAAATAAAACTCAATAAGTTAATACCCTGTCAAAATATTTAGTTCCATGGTGAGGGTCTTTTTTATGTTTATCTCTTGGCATATAACCATATCAGGTTAAAACTAAGATGAGCATACATTTCCATTATCAAACCAAGTAGAGAACCGTAGACATTAAAATCAGGGAGCTTAAATCAATGTGCCAACGTGGAGAAATTTAGCTTAGTTCAATAGCGACTGCAAGTGCCAGACTTTACCTTTGGATCAAATTCGCTAGACAAAACAAAATTGGCACCAAGTCTGAATGAACAGGCTCCGATCATTTCCCCCCTCTTTGTATACAAGTTTAGTAATCGAAACATAGTTCCTAACGTCAAGCATACGAAAAAATAACATACATATAAAAATAACTATAAATTAAATATAATCCATTGCATTTGTTCGGAACCAGAGAGACATCTAAGCCAAATCCTGGAGAATTGGAAAATGGGTATGACGAGCAACCAAGAACAATCCGAGAACTCCTTTCAACTAATAGGTTTTGGTTTTGGGAGCCTTCTTCTTGTGTTGCCTTCTAGGAATGGAGTTTTTCATCCCAATAAAAAACAACAAAGCCCCGAAGAGGGCCATATTCTGCGAGGAGTAAAATATTTGATAAATTGCAAAACTACACGAAGAAACGTTACAGCTCAAGTTTGAGCATTCCAACATGAAAAAATATTATTTTTTTTTAAAGAAAACACTGCTCATACCTGAGTAAATTTGATGAAAAGCTGAATAAATTCTTTGTCCTCGCTGTCATAATTGTAGAAATCATACAGTATCGGAGTAGCAATCATTTGATGCAAAAGCTACAAAGAGAAAAGAACCAAGGCTTGAAAAATTAAGAACTTGAAAAGCCAATTTCAATTTCACAGAAATAAGTCAAGCTACAAACCAAAAGGAAAGCTCCAAAAGAGCTGCCGAGTATGAATAGAATCCCTCCAATGCCCTTGAGAGCAATAGCCCCAGCAACTAAAAATTTCATCTGTTAATGACATAAATCACATGAATACATGTGCTAGATACAAAATAACTAATGATAAAAGGAGTACTTGATTGGATGCAGGAACATGTTGATACAAGGATGCACCATATGCATGACAGCTATAATAATGCAAGAAAGTTCAATTATTTTCCACTAAAATGTTTCATAACTTCCCGCCTCATGCCTGCACACCCATTTCATTTTTTCAGAATGTTATACAATTTTTTTTTAACTATTTTTCTGCTTACATTTATGATTCATGTCCAACACAACCACAATCCTGTTGCCTGCTGAGAACCCAAAACTGGGTAAATGCGGCAAGCAGTCAAGCAACAATAGGTCTCAAGTTAAAAATGAAAAAGACCTAGATAAGTTAATAATACTTTGTCCAAGATACATGACAGTCTTATTTAAACGTGCAGTTACAAAAACAAAAGCATTATTAAATATTTAAATATATATCATGGTATATGTTTCATCAATCATTGATTACACATTAATTAGACCTCAGTTAATGACAGAAAAATGCATGAATTCACAAGCTGTTTCCAACTCCATGTCACACTCGTGATACATTTAACCACTTGTTTCATCTTTTGTTCCTACCCAAGAACTTGTTTATCTGTTTGCTGTGTTTTAATCATGCTTTCCTTAAATAGTTGATAATAAAAGAGACTGAGAGACTAACATCAATATCTGGAAGTTGGAAGCCAACTTTAGAATGTACTTGATGTGTAAAGGCATCAAACTTCGGTCTGAGTGCTTTTGCTGCGGGTCCCCCATCAACTCCATAGGCACTAAATCTGTACAAGTATAGAAAGGGGGGAGGAAAAATAAAGAAAAGCCATAAAAGTTAAAAGAAAAATAAGTAACAATTGAGTTGCTATGTACTTCCAGAATCAAGATGTCAAATGGAAAGAATTTTTAGCTTCTAATGTCTGATTAAATGTAAACAATGAACACCATCAAGCAATACTGTCAACTTATCCAAAATATAGCAGATGAGCCTATAAATCAGGTCCTTATTGAATGCAATTAATCAAATTTAATTACGATTGAAACATGTGAAAGCATAGAAAAGAAAGGTGCACATTATTCCACATCAATCAGAAGGTCACAGTCCATTAGCAATGACAATCAGAAACTTAATTAGTTCATGTGTAACAGAAATCATCGGTTTGTCTCCCTCAATGTATATAATGTACATGCCTTAGGGTCTGTTTATGTGAACTTCTTTCAAAAGTACTTATTACAGGACAGAAAAATAAGATGTAAAAATGAAATAAACTTCTCCAAAAACTAAAATTAGCTTATGCATTAGTTAATTTGTAGAAGTTCTCTCATTAGCTTCTCCAAAATTTGACTTTTAATTTATGCATAAGTTAGTCTTAACTTATAGATAAACTTATTTCAATTTTTCTTCTTATTTTCTTTTTAAAAGTGCTTCTGGAAAAATTTAAATCCCAAAACAAAGACATTCAATTGCTCTCTGTTGAAACCATAACTCGATACAAGAAAAATCTCAACACCGTGCCCCAACACTGTGGAAACAGGTTAGGGTCAAGCAAGGGTTACCTAATGAAGACCAAATGTTTATATACGAATATACCCTCATTTTTAACTCAAGGACTTATATGTAAGAATTATTAAGATCCTCATAAGGGTCAACTTATTGTTATTAACACCTACACGCTACAAACTGGGGATAAAAAATTCCGGGGTTATTTTATTTATTTATTTATTTTACGAAAATTGACATTTTATTGATACTCATCTGCCATTAATCACCCAAGATTAACAATTTTTTCCGGAATAATTCCCCAGTTTCAAAATAACACACTGTAATTATAACCGCTAAAAAAACAGATACTCTCTAGTCTCTATAATATCACAACCCACACGTTACTTAACAACCAGCAACAATTACCTGGTGGCCGGTGCCCACCCTACTTAATTGCTAACGGTGGTAACAACAGATAGTAAAACTCACGAACTAGAGAAAAGTTAGATTGACAAGACCCGAAACCGTTAACGTTCACTTCGAATGCATTAAAACGATTCCATAACCTCAGCAACAATGATCAAAGCTAGCAGCTACACTAACACTACAGTGCAAACCAATCACGCAACAAGATCTAACTACCATGCCAACGAAGAAGAAAAAAAAAAAAAAAACCTAATAAAAGAAAATGTTCCGTTGCATGCAGTTGAATTGAAGCATGTGAAACACAGATCTGGTGAATCGTTTTGACGAGAGAAGGGGTTGAAGCCCTTGAACGTAACAGATCCAAGCAGAGAGAGTGAGAAAGTAGCAGAACAAATAAGGAAGAGTGAGGAAATAGAACTAACTCTTGGTAAGCGGAGAGGATGAAGAGCGAAGCGAAGAGGACTCTGCCGAGAAAAGAAGAGAAGGCCATTGAGAGATGAAATCTAGGGTCAGACCCACCCAACCCAAAGTTGAAAAACACATACTTCAACAACGCCTAATATACTCTTTTTCCTTTCCTTTCCTTTCGCCGCCTATGGGCTCAATTAATCACACACCGGCCCACTTTAATGTATTATTTGTTTGGTAAGACCATTTATTGCTCAACTCGACTATCAATTCTAGGCTCTTCGCGGATCATTAATGCCATCATCAATGTCTGCGTAATTATAGCTTCGTATTTTAATTTTTTTCATTTTGTTGAACAAAGCTTTCATTACAAGTCCAAAAACAGGGCCCAAGCCCAAACACTACATCAGAAGCCCAAGACCCCACCAATCAGAAATTCACAAATAAAGCAACAACTATACTAGTAATTTCATACTCACTTATAAAAGAAGATAAATCTATTAGGGTCAATACAGTAGAGGGTTTTTTTTTCCCCTAGATAATTTACATGTGTTTAATTATTATTATTATTATTATTGTACATAAAAATATATTTTAAAGTAAGATATTAACTGTTTCCTAAAAAAGAAAAGGAGTAAGATATTAACCGGAAACGAAACTACTTATCTACTAATGGTTATTTAAGAAGTAAACAAACCTTTTCCGTATTTGGGCAATTCTACAATATTTATTCTTATATTATAACTTACTAGTATTTTAGCCCCAAATATTTATTATATAACTAAAATTTATAATAAATTATAAATATTATATTTGAATTTATAAATTATATTTAAAATTTATATAAATAAATAATTTATTTATATAAATTATACTTTAGATTTAAGGTAAATAAATTATATTACAGCACAAAATTATTTTTAATTATTAGAAACTTCTTATGAGCAATTTATGCGAATAATGTAACCATATCATTTATTAATTATTTATTAATTATATATAATGACATAAATATAAATATTCTTACTAAAGGAGAAAAATATGCAAAAATCATAATAATAATAAAGGTAAATATTTTTTTATTACCTAAACAACCTTTTACCCCAACTTTTCATCCATAATTATACCAATTATAAATATTAGTGGATACTACAAATTTTTTTTTGTTGGCTCATTCACTTTTTAAAAGACTCCAAATAAAGGAAAGAACAAATTACTTGCTTTTTTCTATCGCTCAATCTTTCATGCTTTTCAAAATAGTAAAAATATCATTATTAATTATAAAAATATATTTGCTTAAGTATATCTATTTTTATTGACTATATTTTTTTTTATTGGAGATAAAAAAAATCATTTTGAAATAAAAAATTTTCCTTTACAGTATTAAACACAACAAAAGAAAACGAAATATTTAAGACTTAAATTCAATATATTAGCTAAATCAAAATAACTCTTTACTAATTGATTTACACACGCAATTGTTTATATATATATATATATATATATATATATATTAAATTGAATTATTATTATAAAGATAGATCTTTTGGATCTTATAATATTAAATTCGCAATTTTACATCAAATATTATAATTTTGTAATTTTAATTTCTTAATTTTTTTTTAAAGTTTACATTTTTATCTCTTTACTACACATTTATTTGTAAATCATTAAAATTGTAACATTTGTGATGACCTAACATTAAATAACTAACAATATAATTAATATTTAATTATAGTCAGACTAAATTATATTTTTATTTTTTATTTTTATTTTAATTTACCTTTTTAATGTGGTAAAAATGATGAGAAAAAGTGAAACTTAACACAAATGTTATTAAATTTTAATTTTCATATCATTTATTTAATTTAAGATCATGATTAATATAATAACTTTGTTTTTTAATGATCAACAAATGAACTATTTAATAAGAAGATTAAAATTATAAGTCTTATAAAATTGAGAGACTAAAATTATAAATTTAAAAGTTAAAAAATAAAAATTATGAATTTGATATTATTAAAAAAATTAAAAATTAAATTTAACCTATATATTATATCATTTCATTTCCATCTTTTATCACATTTATATATTATTATTTTTATATTCTTCTTTCCATCTGCCCTCACTAAAGAATAGAGTATATGTTTTCCACTTTTGTAAATAACAGATAATAATTCATGTTTGGATAATTTATTAACAAACACTTATAAAAATAATATAAGAAAAATAAAATAAAGTAAATTTTTCAATGAATTAAAATTAGTTTATACTAAATAAAAATTTAAACGAGGGAATTTTTATAAAATAACTCGTGAAAAATTAATTTTAATTTAAAAATGAGTTTTTTTTTTTTTTTTTTACTTTTTCCTTCCTTAAAAATATCAAATATTTATAGTTTTTTTTTTTTCCTAACTCTTCCTGCCCTAGACCCTAGGTACTGAAAATGTGGAGGTTGGAAAAGGCATTCTGGGTCAGATGGATGGCCTAAACCAAACCTAGTGAGAGTTGACGGCAGACAAAACCATATTCACGTCACATGTGCCACCCAAATACAGGAAACCACTTCTATTTTTAGGAACCTCAACCCTAAGGCTAGTATACGAAATTCTCTCCATTTTTATTTTTATTTTCTTAACTTTTTTTAAAAAAATAAACATGATATATGTATTAGAAAGAGTGACTTCTTTATTCCTAAAACTTCAATTATGAAAAGAAAAAGAAATAGAGAAAATCTACTCAATAAAAATTTGGTTGTATTTAACTTATCGAGAGCCAATTATAATTAATATGACTAATCATTTAAGCACAATCTACCATTTCAATGTCAATAAAAAAAAAAGTCGACGTAAAAATAATCAAGTCTTTAAGTGGACTTTAAAACTGACGTAAAATCTCCCATTTTTACCAGTAATTATTGTTAATATATTATTATTTTTGGTTTATTAATTGGTGTTTATTACCTATTCAACATATAATTTTGGCAACTATTTATAATTCCAACGAGTTAATTAATAACTTGTAATTTTCAACTAACAACTCTCAATTATGAATGAACTTTTCAGATTTTAAATAAATTTTCAAATACTTTCATAAAGCATATCCTTAACCTTGAGTAAAGAAGTTAGGCCGGCGACGAGAGATATATATATCAGCGGCTGAGAGAAGACGTTATGCGAGTATTTTGTATACTTTCGGTGTGGGCCTTACAAATTACGATATGTCAAGATTCAAGTCAATACCAAAGGAAAATTAACATAGGTGTAGCTTATTTGAAGCAATTAATCAAAACGAGATAAGTATATAGAGTTTTATTCTTAGACTTTATGCTTCTAATCACCTAGAAGGGACAAACTTGTAGGACCAACACTTCCTCATTCACGTATGCATAATAATGTGAGTCATTTCAGTCAAATTCCAATCCAAATTAGGTTAACTTGAGCCTTGAAACTAGATTTTTAAGAATTAATTAATTAATTCCAGGTTGTCTCCACTAGTGACTAATATCACTTCTGGTCATGGAATTGAAACCGCGTACGTCCTTAACAATTAGCAAAACAACAATCCCAACAAAGACAAACCCTTTTGAAATTAAAATGGCAACCAAGCTAGCTCTCGTAATTTATGTGAATTAATACATTAAACCAATCCCTATATCGTGGCTCGGTTTTGAACAACTGCCCCCTGTTCAAACTACATTTGATTTCATTTTAAAATACGAAAGTCACCAGTGAATAAACTAGTGGCCTTTAATTGTACCGAAAACTAGCTACATTGTATATCCTATATTTATATATTCTTTTTCAAGATGAAGCTTTCTGCAGATGTGTCTCAATCATTAAGCAACATCGTGTTCTTTTGGTTGGTATTATTCAGAAAGAGTTTGCTTTTGAGTTGCATCATTATGGATTATTGTTAGAGATTAACTAATTGATAATATAATTTAAAAGTTGCACAGAACATGTTGCATAGATTAATTAATTGTATCAATCTATATTTCTAGTCAATAATATAAAAAAAAAACATTAATTATAGTGCCATTAACAGAAGCAAATATATAATACGTACTCTCAAATTAAGAAAAAAAAGGAACAAGTGTAATTCATGTGGAAATTTTATAGTATTGTTTTGTAGATTGTGGTGGATAAGAGAGGATGATACATCCTAAGTCCTAACCTAGATATGTGGCAATCATCCATACACGTGCAGTGGCCCCTATTAAACGTTTGGGGTTGGTTTAATTTGACTGGTCGTGCACTTGTCCTTTGTCCATGCCCTTCTGTTCTTAAGAGTGCAAACCAGACAACAAAATTTTCATAACTTTTAGCTAAGAATATTGCATATATATGTTTGAATTGATATGATGAATATCTTCTAAATTAATAATCCACTGATCAGACGATCATGTAGTTTCTGCTAGATGGACCTTGACTTCCGGTTCCAGATCTGGGATTCTGGAATAATTCTAAATTCTATTTCACACGTTATACACAGTTCACTCGTTTGATATGATGTACATATTCAAAATCCAAATAGGTCACAGAATATATTGATGGGTTACTTTACTAAAACTTGTTTTTGAGTTAGCAAGCTGAAATGGATATAAATGTGAATCTAGTGGCAAGTGTTTGTGATAATGTCTCATCACGTTATTAGAAGTTAAGGATAAGTTAATTTAATTATAAACACTTTTTTTAATTCATTAAAGATAAAATTATGATGTATCAATTCTAACGATATAACTTATTTGAGGTTAGAAGATTAACATTAAAAAGAAGACTTGTAAGTTTTGATATGTGAAAAAGTACTATATCATTTTAAAACTTTTAAAAGTGGAGATAAATGATAATTTATAAATACTATTTTTCAATAACATTAAAAATAAATGGATTTAAATCACAAAAATAATTTTGGAAGTTCAAAATTTAAAATAATAGTGTTTATTATCATTTAGCAATAACATAATGAAGATAATCAACAAATATAAATAAATATAAAATTTGAACCAAAATTCAAATAATAACAAGATTGTATAACTAAATAATTACTAAAATGACAAATATTTTGTTTACAATGACAATAATAACATTAAAATTTAGAATTTTGTTGTATAAAAATGGTGGACACATCTATGAATAACCTGAAATATCGATAGATTTAAACTACAACAAGCTTACAAGATTTATTCTTACGTGTACGAGCCCACCGTTAATTACT